AGATTGGTATTTTTGAATCGTCAGTGATAGTTAATTTTGGCTAATAACGATGACAACGGTGGTAGTTGATAATGCTTGGTGGCAATGACAACGGTTAGCGATGAAAGTGGATGAATAGCAACCTAATAAAATTAAGACTTTGTTATAAGTCTTAATCATTCAGATTTATTCAAACGCATTATAAGATCATAACATATATTAAAAAATAGACACACCTAATAATTCAGACCTGAATAATAAAGATTTAGACTTAAAAACAAATACGATTAATAAAAGAGATCTGAATAATTAAGACTTAGACGTTACTTAAATGTAAACAAATAAGACCTTAATTGAAATTTATAAAAAGTTAGGTAAAATATGTACACACACCTTAATTGCACTCTGTTGTTTAGCTTGAATCATTTTTTGTATATTTTTTTAAATTCAGTATCATATTTGAGAAAACTTCAAACTCCTCCTCCTCTTTCTTATCTTCTTTCTTCTTCTTCTTCTTCTTCTTTCTCTTCTTCTTCTTCTTCTTCTTTCTTCGTCATACTCAAATACAAATGAGAATTATTTAACAACCGTGTATATCAGATATCTTTATTTTAACATTAGTAATACATATCTAGGATATTTAGCAACAGAACATCAAACTGAAAAAAAGAGATTAATGACGTGACAATAAGTATAAGCCAACCAAAAAAAGGTCACTGTCTATTAAAAAATTACTAAATTCTCTTTAAAGTTTCAAGTTATGTATTATGTTCGTATATGTTACGATCACTTCATATTAATTTGTCTAAAATTTGTTTGCGGCACTGAAAATCTCAAACTAATTTGTTCGAAGTTTGCGCTATGACAGAAGAACTTCAGACTCGATTTTCTGAAGTTTGCACTTCGATGGGATAACTTCATACTCGATTTTTATGAAATTTATACTATGGCGAGCCAACACCAAAATTTGTAACTTCATATTAATTTGTCTGAAGTTTGTACTGTAGCGGAAGATCTCAGACCCGATTGTCTGAAGTTTGCACTTTAACAACTTATACTCAAATTTTTGAAACTTCAAACATGTATGTCTGAACTGTGTAATGAAGTGGGTAAATTTATAAGTTTTTGCTTAATACAATTTGACTTCAATGGTAATCCTAAAATCGGGTATATCTACCTTTGCATAAAAGTATATATCACATTTGAATTGTGGTCATTTATATTTGTTTTCACCATTCATTAAATCCTACCATTAGAGGGAACGAATTAAAAAAAGATATAATTGATAAAATGATTCATTAATTTTTATAATCACGTTTTATCAAAAACTACATTTTTTTGGTTAATTGGGCTATTCTAAAATATATTAAAACTCATAATAGTAGCATTGTTTTCCGGTGGGTATGAGTGTTCCCCCGCGCTAGGACCAGAAGTAATAATATTACAATCCAAAATTTGTCTTGAGAAAACAGTTCCTGCGATGTGTGCCAAAAAACATGATTAGCAAACACCGGAGGAACTGCTGTTACCTAAAGTCTATCAAAAAAAAATCCTTATTTGCACCCTCCTTTGCCAACAGGTCAGCTACTTTGTTCGTCTTCCTGTAGCTATGCTTCACCACTACGTCTCCTAACATTAGGATGATTGAACTGCATTAAAAAATAACTGAGTCATGTACATGGCGTTGTTATGCATTCTTATTACCTCAGTAGAATCTGTTCGATTTCCAGTGGTGTTAACCCTCTTTCTTCAGCAATCTGCAATCCTCTCAGTACAACAATAAGTTCTGCTTGTGTATTAGTAGTGTACATGCTACCCGTGAAGCCCAGTACCTAGTTTCCGCTTGCATTTCTGAAAACTCCTCCCACGCCTCCCTTGCCACGGGATCCCAACAACAGCCCCATCAGTGTTAAGCTTATAGTGATCTCTTGGTGGGGATCCATTTGACCCAAATAGATGTTTTGTCAACTGAGATAGTGATATACTCAGTCGCCTTTGCCAAGACAACATTTGCAGGGACCATGTATTTCTTTTTGTTGAAGAGGTTATTATCCCTTGTGATCCAGATCTGCCAAAAGCTAAAGGGGATAAGATCTTCCCAAGTGAGGATGTTATTGAGAGGCTTTCTTTTGAGAGTGGCCCATGTGATAGGTCAGTCCCCGCTATTCAAGGAGATATTATGAGTTTGAGCTTCAATGGTATTCTTTGAGGTCAAATTCCCCAGAAGAATTTTGCGTTGGGGCACTCAAAGAATATGTGGGAGATGTCTCAAGGGCCTGGTTATAGAAACAACACATTACGTTCAAATATATCCCAATATGATGAAGGAAGGCTCCAGTGGGGAGCATCTTATGATAGAAAAGCCATATGAGAGAGCCTCGAAAACTACATTACTGCTAAAAAAAAACACATGAAATTATTAATCTAATAATATTTTAATATGCGGTACAGACACTCTACGGACTAACCGACAAATTAAGTCTCAATTAGAAACTAGTTCGGAAAATGTGGCCGCCGAGACTATTTCATTGTATATGATTAGAGTTCGACTTTGTCACAACTTTTAAGGAAACTCACTTGTTTTTTCATATAGATATTTTTATATGAAACATTTTCTATTATCATTCAATCTTACACATACATGCAAACTCCTGAAATTTTATTAAAAGTTCTAAATATACACATATCACTTAGCTTTTACTTTATTGCCACAAGTACATAACATTTTTCTTGTTAACAAAAAGTCTTACTTTGTCTAAGATCATATAAAGTATTCTATTGTTTTCTCATAGTGACTTTCGTGATAGGCAAAGATAAGGGACTTTATGTTGGATTTTCTAAATTTCTAAAGGGTGTGAATGAGAAATGGAAGAGGCACCTCTTGGATTGCCTCTCTTTATCTCTCCCTTTTATTGTCTATAAATTCAGAGGCTTGGACTCATTTTTCAACATGGAAAATCTGAAAACTTCTCCCCCTTTTTCTACAGTATTGCATTATTTTTCAAATAAACATAAGCGTTAAGTGTGATTTGCTCAGTTTGTTGAGTTTGCTGAAGTTATGTGATAGCGGCACTACAAATCACAAAACTTGCTAAAAGTGATAGCGACACTAGAAATTCCTTAGCCTGTTAAAAATCTATGTTCGAAAATCATTTCTGCAAATAAAACAGGAAACAAAACAGAAATAGGAATATAAACAGTATAAGTAAAAGTTCCGAGCCCAACAGAAAATTGTGTTTCCTTAAGGAATTTAACCTCCTCACTATTGCCCAAGGTTATTGGATTAATTCCTCCCAAGAAAGAACGGAACAACTATTCTGTAATACCAGCAATAAAAATTACAAAACTTCGTCGAACACAACAAACGGCAGTAAACCACATTGATGGTTACGTTTTGCTTTGGAAAAACAACACAGAAATGCAGAAGAGAGAGGGTAGAGTATGCAAATTTTCGGTCGTGGAAACGCGAGGCAAAGCCTCTGAATTTATAGCCAAACAATCTGGGTTGAATAGGTGCGAAGGTACCTGCTCACATAAGGTATCATTCCGGTAGAAAAATTTCTGCTTGGTCGCGAATTTTAAATTCGCAAATGACCATTAAGACCGCTCCTCGAATTTTAAAAACATAAAATCCGCTCGGAAAAATATTAGGAAAATGAAATAAGTAACGAAAAAAGGAAATAAATTTGATCAAAAAAATTATCAATCAATCATATCAATTGACTAAATCTGAATCCAAAGCCGAAGCCGAAGTCGAGCCGAGCGAGCGACGACGACGACGACGCGAGGTACCACTTCTTCTCAACTCTTTATATGACGATATTTTCCGTTATACATAATGCTCACAGCCCTGCCCTTCCTATTGCCGATTAACTGTCGCAATATATGCATATAGGTGCCAAAGGTTTGGGCCAAAATGGAATATCTTATTCCAAGAAATTCCGGAGCCATTCAACTTTTTCACCGGCCTTGTCTAAAGCTATAAACTCAGACTCCATTATAGATATTGCTGAGGAAGCTTCTACAATCAACAAAAAGAGAAATAAGCCGTTTGGACCAAAGAATTACCCGAGCAAGAAGAAGTTCAAAGGTAATTGGACATAAGGTTATGGACTGCCGTGCATCAAAGAAGGACAAGAACAAGAGTCAAGCAAATATGGTTGAAAAGAATGATGAAATGGAGGACTTATGTGCCATGCTATTACATAATAGTTGTTCCATTATATCTTGGGAGGAATTAATCCTATAACCTTGGGCAACAGTGAGTGGATTAAATACCTTAAGAAAACACAGTTTTATATTGGACTCTTAACCTTTACTTATACTGTTTATATTCTTGTTTATGTTTTGTTTCTTGTTTTATTTGCAGAAATTATTTTCAAATACATATTTTAACACTTTATGATTGCAAAAAAGATATTTCACTGATTTTCATAATATTTTGGTATTTGAATAGTCTTTCCATTATGATAATGGTTAGTAACTTTGGTGTAATAAAGTAAAAGTTGAATGATCACCGGTAAAATTAATCAACTATTTTCGAAAAAAATTGAATTGATTGTCTCCAAATGCAATAACAAGTTGGTTCTTTAGTCTTCAGTACTGGCATAGATATAAAGTATAAAGTAGTCTTAAAAAACCGTATAATAGTATAGCGTCAACTAAAATTTAGGATTTTTTTTCCTTTGCTATTTATAAAATTAGCTAGATTTGGTACACGAATTATACACACTAACTTATTTATCCCATTCCTGTTATTGAAAAGTACAATAACAAAACCACAAAAAGCAAGAGGCACACACTGATTCTCTATCTCATTTCACTAGTTTCTTCTGATAAATCACTACATTATCCTTTTATTCAAACCATACATTCTTTTCTCAAGGCAATGGGATGGTCCATTTTTTCAAACCAATCATTTTCTTAAGGCGGAATCACATGATTGGTTGAACGCGGAATCAATTTTTTATAACTATATCTAAAGAAAAGTCTCCCATTTGAAAGATTATTTATTATAAGTCATGTTTTGGAGTTTGCCAAATCATTTTTGAGCGACGAAGTTACTAGGGATTTCTCTCCAGTGTCTGCTAAGATGCTCCGGTCTTTGGTTGACGCTATTATGTGGAAAAGACCCCGATTTTCTCAAAGATTAGAGATGTCACTGGTACTATCTTTCTGTCTTTGACCTATCGATTGAGGGGTGCTTCTTATCGTATCTGTGGTGCGCCCTATCGCCCTAAATCTAAGCGATGGAAGCCTCACTATCTTTGTATGCTTTCGCCGCCCGTTATCATTAAAACTGTGGTTAGGATTTCCAGATTTGGGAGTGTTAACGCCGAGTGTCGCGCGGGCCTTCATTCTTGAAAGGGCTAAAAGTAGCGCCTTCGCTTTGTTTGTAATGAAAAGGAAAGAGAAGATCTTCGGATATTTTTTCCAGGGGAGGACTTTCTTGATCGCCTCATTCTTCAACCATGGGTTAAGATGTGGCTAAAGTCTCTCCGATGGTAGCGTATATTACGCTCGAGGCCCCTCGAGCCTCCTCTTGTACCAATGTCTATATTCCGTTCTAGGAATAAGGTCAATTTCTTTTCCGGTAGTTAAATTAAATAATAAATATTTTCGTAATTATAAATTATTTTAAAATTAAATTATTTAATTATAAATAAATATGTGCCATTCTTTTTTAGACCATAAATTAGGAATTGGGACATAAGTACTGTACTAAAAATAAGTAAAAAGTAGAGCAAGCTTTAAGCGGCAAGTCGGCAACAGCGGGAATCACGACGGCGCAGCAAGGGAGTGAACTGTGAAGAGAGCCATTCTCTTCAGCTGCTATTACCCTACCCTATGCGCTTCAATCGGAGAAGATATTAGTTGTAGATTTTGGTTACAGAGCTCGCCGGTGACTTGAAGAAGTTTGAAGAAGAAGTCACGAAGATGTCAGACCTAGACAGGCAAATAGAACAGCTCAAGAGATGCGAACCGTTAAAGGAATCGGAAGTGAAGGCTCTTTGTCTTAAAGCTATGGAAATCCTCGTTGAAGAAAGCAATGTGCAGAGAGTGGACGCCCCTGTCACTGTAAGTCGAAATTAAAACCCTATGTCGGAGCGATATAAAAGAGATGAACTATAAGTTTTGACTGAGCTGAAGTGTGGGTTAATTGTCCAGTGGGGGAATTAATATATTTATTCTCCCAATTGGTCTACGGGATTCAGTCTAGGTTAATTGTTGATGATGTAGGGTTTCTATCTGTTAGTTCTTCAACTTTTTTTTTCTTAAAACCTTTTCAATTCCGTTTGAAAGCGCAAAGTCTTCCCAATGTATTATAGAGTCATTTGGATGCTCTCTTTTTCATTTTATAGGTTGAGTTGTTGGAAAATTCGTGTAAGAATATTCTATTGTTGTTCTGCGGGTTATTTTTGAGTGTGAAGTTGTAGGCATGTAAGTTTGAGTAATATTGTGTTACTGTCTTAAATTTAGTTGCAAGTGCCCAGGAAAATCTCAATTTTCATTGAAATTAACTAAATGATGATACATTAAGCCGGCAAATGCGAACACAATTGTGCTAGTTGCTCAAGACAAATGGTGTTTCGTGAGCCTAAATGGCTGTATGAAGTTGCACATAGTAGAAATTATGGAATAAGAATTATAAGATCCAAATGAACAATAGGCATATACAAGCATTTTACATTTTTCCTTTGTTTAGATGCGTCTAAATTCGTATTTTATTTGAAGATTCGGCTCTTATGATGAAACAAACATTCTTCTATCGATGACATGGTAGACTTGAGTCAAAGTATTATGGAATCTGTCAGAGATTCTGTTGAGATGAACATGTTATTTGTATTAGTCGAATTTCAAGAGAATTAATGCAACAGAAATTAGGATGTCTGCATTAATTTTATACATTTAGGTTAATTGTATTTGATATTCTTAGTGATAGCGTCATAATTAGGCATCACGCTAAGTAGGTAGATTCCCTTATTTTTCTGTAGCATAAACTCTATATAAGGGGCTCCTTTATTTGTTGTTCACCACTCAAATCAATAAGAATTTTACCTCTCCTCTTCTATTATCTCTATAGTAGAGATTGTAGCTTCTGCCTACCATAGGCTGCACAGTTGCCCAATTTTTTTTTCTTTTTGATGAAGTGTTACTGTCTATTAATGGTTATCGTTTTGGCAGCGTTACACCTTCATTTAGGTTACTGTTTCACTGACATCGCATCTGTTTTGTGTATATCTTTTGTGTGCTCCCTCAGTCTACCTATTTCTGACATATGGAGTTAGTGTCGTTAAGATGAACACAATATTGGAGACTTTAGCCTTAAATCTTTCCTTGGTGCGTGTGAAGCCAGAAAGCTCAAGCCCATTGGTGCTTTTGTAGCACACATCTCATGCACCATTAATTACTAAGATTGGTGACATTAGTCCATATCAGCTAACCTGTCAAGTCACATTTGTGTGGGTTTAGGAGTGATGTTATTAGTCCGCAGACCTGTGAAGCTAGTACTCCAATTTTTCCTAGCTAGTCTAATTTGTTATTGGCAATAAGCGCTATGTTATCATCAGGTAGCACCATTGGTTGCCAATGATATGGTCCAATTGCACTTGACAGTATGCTTGTGTTTGTCAACGTTTTGATCAAGTTGGCTGCATGCATATTTCAAGTCAGCCATGACTCTTTGTAGTCATGGTAGCTTCACAATCCATTTAAGTTTGTTTCATGGTAGCGCCAATCCAATTTTATTTTCACCTACACTATTTAAGACACTACTCAGATGCCTGTTCTGGCAACAACTATTGTTTTTTGTTAATGTATTTGACTTGATTTTTCAGTCTTGAATTGATTTGCACACACATTGGTTCATCACTTGAATTTGAAGGGAGATGTCGTTAGTTAAGAGAATTGGTTAGGATGTGTGTAGGGTCATTTTTTAAAGCATTAAGATTTTATTGAAATGTTTGGGCAAAAAAACCCTATACAAGTGGTATACCAAAAAAAAGAAGAAAACCAACAAAAAGATATGATTTTATACAAAAGTCACTCAATCTTCTATACGAAGAGGAGTCTCATGGGTGCACCAAAAGGAAATAAGGAATAAGAGGCTATTCCACAACTGTGCAAAGTTACTCTCTATCCCCTCAAAACCTCTCCTATTTCTTTCCTTCCAAACCACCCACATCAGTGCTAAAGGTGCTGCCTTCCCTGCCCTGCATCTACTCCTCCGTATTAATGTGTCTATGTTTAATGTATAACATATTATTATTTGTTGATAAATCAAATAAATTTCATTAGTACATATCAAGATGGTATTAGCTTTACATAAATAAATTAAAAAAATAATTATATAGAATGTTAATAGAATATTCTGAATGATTATGATGAGCTTTAATGGAACGGCATGGTCTGTGAGGATTCATACAGACAGACACCAATTTGCTTGGGATTGAGGCATATTATAGTTAGCAATCCTGAAAATTAAGAAAGTTCCTTCATCTCATGTAGCGTAAGCTCGTCATTTTTTGGACAGAGTATAGCCTAAGCTCTTATATTTACAAGCTCTCATATATTGTGCAACACTAACAGTAAGAGTTTTTCTCCTTTATCTTTTCACGGTATTGAATTTTTTCTTTATATTCTTTTCTGATGAAATTGCTTCTCTTTTGTTGAAGTTGCTTCTTTATATAGTGTGTAGTATTAGTTGATGATGGAGCAATGGTAGCATGATTATTGTTTTTTCTTCTGGGAGTGAGGATGTTTGATTAGAGATCACTATAGTGATGCTAGTCCACTTTCTGTTATTCAGTTGTTTGTTTTAGAAAAATTCTACCTAGGACTTATCTAGCAACTGTTTGTTATGTAGAAGTATTGGTCATTTATCTTGTAAAGAAACCAATGTCACGACCCCAAATCACAAGTGCCGTGATGGCGCCTATCGTGATACTAGGCAAGCCGACAACTCACAAATACAGGCATCTTTAATTTAAAATATACTAAAATAAGTTTGAGTAAATAAAATCTCATAAAAACTGGATGAAAACACCTCAACTCTATACAGAATTTCCCCAAAATCCGGGTGTCACGGAGTACATGAGCATCTATACAATAACACGGTCTGACAACTGAAACACTGTCTAGGAAGGTAGAATAGTATAAACAAAATTAAAAGATAAAGAATGAGAGTCAAGGTCTGCGGATACCAAGGCAGCTAGCTCGATAATCTCCGAACCGATGAAGCTCCAAAAATCAGCAACCACCGTGCCCGGAAATACCTGGATCTGCACTTCGAGTGTAGCTTGAGTACAACCAACTCAATAAGTAACAAGTCTAACCTTTGGGCTGAAAGCAATGATGAGCTCAACCAATAGAGTCCAAGTACAGAGTTTAACAGTACGGAAATGACGGAAATATGACAATAATATCTCAGAGAAACTAATAATCTGTAGGTACCAGTACAGGAATGTAGACATGCTTCCAGGTTTAACAGTTAAGCTCAACAAAGATAAAATATGCCAAGTCTGTATGATATAAGGAATATGACATCTCTATATCTATATGCCAATATGCATATCGTATGTGATGCAACACAATGAAAGCCTCACGTACTCACACTCTCAGAGTACTCAACCTGACTGTCCCAATTCTCACTCATCACACTCAGTCACTCCGCACTGCACGGTACCCGCTGCGGCGTATAGCCCGACCCCATAATGAAACAATAGAACCTGCGCTCACTGCTGGTATGTTAGACTCCGGAGGCCCAAGCGCTAATAAACCTGCTGCGGCACGCAACCCGATCCCATCATGAAGCAATAATACCTGCTGCGACGTGCAACCCGATCCCATTATTGAGTCAATAGTACCCGCTGCGGCGTGCAGCCCGATCCCATCAATATCACTCACAAACAGGCCCTCGGCCTCACTCGGTCATCAATTTCTCTAGTCTCTCGGGCTCACAACACTTATGCCAAGCAGCCTAAATCAATGATACATGATGTGACAATATATGATAACAGAGACTGAGATATAGTATGCAATCATGAATGTGACTGAGTACATAACTGCAATTAAGCAAATAACTCAACAACAAAGAATGATTGCTATGAGTCCCAATAGCACCAACACATAGCCTAAACATGATTCTAACATAAATCACAGCTCAAATTCTCGAACACATAGAGGACAATAATAATATTAAGATAAGATGACTACACAGTTCCATGGAATCGACTGAATCACAATTACTACGGTGCACGCCTACACGCCCGTCACCTAGCATGCACGTCACCTCAACACCAATCACATAACACGTAATTTTAGGGATTCATACCCTCAGAACCAAGTTTAGAAGTGTTACTTACCTCAAACCGTGCAAATCTCTACTCCAATAAGCCCTTGCCTGGTATTGTTGTTACTGCTGCTTACTGGGGGTTAATCCTGGGGTTCTTGCTGAAAAAAATACTACAGCAGCTGGAGAGGACTCAAGAATCTGGTTGGGGTCTGGTAATGTCAAGAAACAAACGAAGCAAAGAAAGATGACTGTAGAGGATTAGGGATGGGATGGCAAAAAATCACCAATAAACAAACAATGCTTATGTTAGTTATGATAGCTAGGATTTGAATTTCACAATTCAAGAGCATCACAATAGATGAGAATAGCCTAATCATAAGTATATTTTACCTATCAAGGGAAAAAAAGAAAACGCCAAGTCATTAGACTCTTTTTATTGGTAGCAAGTCATTAGACTTGTCCTGACAACTTCAAGTAAATTGCCATAAAGAATGAACTTACTTCCAAATGAAATAAAGACGGAGAAAAAACAATATGCCTTTCTAAGTTTTCTGCAAAATAGATGAGTTAAAATTCGTAAAACATTTGTGAACTGAATGGTCACAAAGAAGGGAAAAAGTTATGGACCTTAGAACAAAAGTATGGAGTAATGTCAAGCACAGTAAGTCTTCTGAAATGATATAAGAACGACGTATTCATGCATTGGTAATTATTGAAGTAACGTTCTATAGTTTGGTTTACCCTTGGAGTTGTTTTACCCTAAATTGGATGTTAATTTTCTTCAATCAGTTGGTCTATTTCAATTAGGATTAACATAAGAAAAATTTAGTGACCGGAAGAGGCAAAGTTCTGAGCCACCTTCTACCTTTGAAAAAGCTGACCATTGCGACCTGATGATTAAAAGCTCTGATTCCTTTGTTTTTTCCTGAAGTAGACCATCTCGTAATGCTTAGTTTCTTGATACTGATTGAGTGCTACTGTCTTAATGACTTCATAAAATGAACTTGTGGAGTCTATTGGGAAATATACTGCAATGTGTGGTATGGGCTTGTGAAATTCTAAAAGTTACAGGAGCAAATGCGATTATTTCTGAACTCTTACCATATATTGTCTATTTGGTCTTATCATTTACAAGTGACACTCCTACGTGCTATGTTTGTTTCTTAGTTTTTTTTTTCTGATGTGAATTCCACTTATCTATGTTCTGGTATTGCTTTAAATTTGTTTCTTGTGTGTATAGATATGTGGTGATATCCACGGGCAATTTTACGACATGAAAGAGCTATTCAAAGTGGGAGGTGATTGTCCAAAGACAAATTACTTGTTTCTCGGAGATTTTGTTGATAGAGGATTTTATTCCGTTGAGACATTTCTTCTTCTACTAGCTCTGAAGGTACTTTCTGGTTCTAACTGCTTCCTGTGTTACCTGGTAGATATCATATTCGTGCAAGGTTTATCTGACTTACGTTATTGTTGAACCTATATGCTATAGTCTTCACTGTGGAAAGTTGGTTATAAGGATATCTCTACTTCCTGCACTTTTGTGTTTTTCCTAAAAGACAAGCTGACAGCTCAGGAAACTACCCTCCGTAGTCTGTATATTCTACGTTATGTACTGCTGCCTTTGTTTGGTTCATGATGTTTTGTAAATTGTAATTGAAATGAAGTGGAAATTATGTTGGATTGGATGCAAAATAGTTGGTCAGACTCATTTAAACTTCCACGTGACGGGGTAACTTGCGTGTGCTTGTTTACTTTGCTGCCTGGGGGACCCCTGGAATGCTTGAAGAAAAGGAAAATAAGTTATATAAAGATATCTCTGTTGATTTTTTATTATCAGTAACCAAAAATAAAAACTCAGTTGAATTTAGGATAAAAGATTTGACATTACATTTTTTTTTTTGGATACTTGTGGGCTCCGAGCCAGCTTGCGAGCATCTCGACTTATTCCACGGGTACTAGCTAGCTCCCACCAGTACAGGTGCTGTCATAGGTTTTAACCCACTCCATTGACCACTAAGCCACACCTTTGGGTGCTTTTCAGATCATTGTTAACTATGAGGATGCTTTTCCTCCTTTTTTCTTCTTGGTGACATGACAATCTGGTTTTGCTTCTTGAAGTTGCAAATAAGTTGGGCTCAGGACCATCTGTGACATGTTATTCGTTTACCTAGCTTGTTGGTTCTGTGCATGCACTCCCCCTCCCCCGCTTCATCTTTGCCTTATTGTCGAAGATTTCCATTTGGCTGTGCCTCATCCTAGATTGATGTGTCTTACGAAAATAACTGTGCGTTCATCTCTTATAAAACCCATGACGTAATAGAAGCAAAATTGTTGCTTCAATGTGCTAATATTCTCTATGCCTTTCCTTGTTGAGTTGCTTATAATTGGTTCTTTATTTCCATGTTCATGTTTAGTGAACATGTTGCCTTTGCCCTTTCAATTAATTGGTGATGCATCATTATCCAAAAAAAAAAAGAGAATAAATTGGTGATGTATAATCAGGTGAGATATCCAGATCGAATCACTCTTATCAGAGGTAACCATGAGAGCCGCCAGATCACACAGGTTGGTCCTTCATTTTATCCCTAACTTCTTAAACTTAAATTATAATCTTATTTTTTCTTCAAAATTTCCAGGTGTATGGATTCTATGATGAGTGCCTGCGGAAGTATGGTTCAGTAAATGTTTGGAGATATTGCACGGATATCTTTGACTACTTAAGGTTTTCTACTTTATTCTAGTGGCTAAAATAGGAGAAGAACTGATTGTTCAATGCATTTTCAGTAGATCCATTGCTTTCAAGCTTGTCATTGGACCTGTCTGTTATGCGCTTTATCCAACCTTTTCTGTTTCCATTGAACCTAATACATGACTTGCAAGTTTGTCCATTTGCTTGACCATACTTGACCTGAGTAATTCTGGACATTGGTATCCTGCATGTTCTCTTTTCTCGTTCCAGCAGTGTTTATGGCTGTCTGATCAAGTCGTGGTACATTTAGCTATCGGTAAGACTAAACTTATATTACCTTGTCTTGATCGTAACGCAGCTTGTCCGCTCTTATTGAGAATAAGATATTCTCTGTTCATGGTGGTCTTTCTCCTACAATATCTACATTAGACCAGGTCCGGAACTAATCTCTGACTCCTTTGCTTGAATTTACATGTGGTGAAATACATTGACATCATCACCTCTATCTCAGATTCGAACTATTGATCGAAAGCAAGAGGTTCCCCATGAGGGTGCCATGTGTGACCTACTATGGTCAGATCCAGAGGACATTGTTGATGGATGGGGACTGAGTCCTCGTGGTGCAGGTTTCCTTTTTGGTGGCAGTGTTGTTACTTCATTTAACCATACAAATAACATAGATTACATATGCCGTGCACATCAGTTAGTAATGGAAGGATTTAAATGGATGTTCAATAATCAGATAGTTACAGTCTGGTCTGCTCCGAACTACTGTTACAGGTCAGTTAAGTCACACGGTTAGTTTGCATTTTGTTCTTTTTTTTAAGGGTATGTTCATTTCATGTATTTTTTTAACGAGAATTATTTGCATTCGTCCTGGTACATCGCAGATGTGGGAATGTTGCCGCAATTCTTGAGCTAGATGAGAATCTTAATAAGCAATTCCGTGTGTTTGAAGCCGCTCCACAGGTATGTGTATATAATCGTTCTACTTTCTAGTTTTTCTGGTTGGTGAATGAGCAAAGAGGTCATTAATTTATCAATGTGCTATTTTTAACCGTAATGGTTAAACAGAAATTCTGCATCCCATCGTCCCATGCATTTCTTTGATCAGTGAGGCATTTATGAAATATAACAAATTCACCACCAAGTGGCTAAAATGTACACAGCAAAGAGGTACGAACTCAGCAAATAGACACTGCCTATTTGAGAAATTGGGATTGTTGAAAGAAAATAGAAAATCTCATGACACCCTGTCTCAGTGTCCGTTCCAGGCTATCCATCAAATGTGTCCCTTTTCGTGAAAGTACTTTTTCTACCCTCTTGGAATACCTTCTGAATATCACGTCACTTGAAAATGTAACATCGGTCCCCCTCTTATTTTCTGATAATACATCAGACACACTCTTGTTATTAATGATAGTTCAAATTCATCAAAAACTTGACTTAATCATCAACTTTGAGCCAGTCTCTTAAATGTGAAAAGTTTATTTCCTACTACAAAAATGAAAGATACATTTACTTGACCATTTTTCCGTAGCCAGAAAAAAAGAGAAGAAGAAGAAAATATTTCATTTCCCATTTAATACCTATGTCACTGAGCCCACAGAGATTTAGGTTAGTCAATGTGAGATTCCAGGATTGCACCATCCAAACCTTGACTAAGAAATAACCTACTTCCCGTAGTGCTGACCCACCCTGGCACCCTCACTATGGACCTTTGAATGTATTCCAACCTCAAACTTAAGCACCTTAGATATATTAGTGATATAATCAATTTCCTTGAAGCATCAATTTCCCTGTCCTCTCAGAAAATCTCAGAGATACAGTAACTGCCTGACATCTTCAACTTGCCTAAATATTCAACCAAGTACATATCCTGGCTTTGCAGAAATTGATCTGGCAGGATTGATAGTTGTGCATATAACTTGTAACCAAAGCATTAGCGCCAGTTATGTGAACTTATATGCATTCCTGTGGAAGAAAAGATACTTGCTCATTGCAATTATGGGCTGAGACAAGCATGCAGTCACTTTTACTCTTATACCAGGATGCCTTTGTGAGACTTCTGCACAGTTTTACATTTGTGCCTGTTTTTGGTGAAATACAGGAATCGAGAGGAGCACCTGCTAAAAGGCCTCCACCAGATTACTTCCTGTAAAACAACAAAAGGATCCAGTTTTTGCCATCAATATACCCACACTGTTGACAAGATGGTTGTAGAGCGCATGCAGGAGATGCTCTCAAATGATTCATACTAGATCAGTTACTGGTTATCTGGTAGAAGGCTTCTTGGGTTCTCAGAAAGAATGGTACCATTGTTTGGGTTTTCTTATATCTTACTGAGATCCGATTGCCATATTGCCCATTTCCAAATCCGATATTTTTTTCCTTGTAATGATGGTGTGTAATAGAATGGGACATTGAGGTGAAATTTGCATTTGAGGCAGCTTCTCTCTCCTGTAAAGGAGTTGTACGACTGAAGTCGAGGACCACATTTGAGCATCTTGTTACATATGGACTTTGCCAGTCAGAAAATGTTTTTTGTTTCTCATGTTACATTTAATGCAATTCAGGCTGCGGTAACAAAACTTCAGGCTGTGTTAACAAAGCTTGTACACATTTTGTAAGGTTAGATTGTTCGATTTGGTGCAAGATATTAGGTGCAGGAAAGTTTTGTCCACATTCTGATTGAGATACTGTTTAGACTTCATATTTCTGCACCATAAGGGTAGTTAGATTGATTATACTGCCTCGAAGAGTGGTGTATGGACAACAAATCAAGAGGTAGCTCATAAATTTTTTAGTGAAAAAGGTAATTCTATGATGGATAGGATTGTGTTCTGCCCCATCTCAAATGAGACGTCGACCTTTTCTGGTTGGGTCGTTAAAAAGTAATGTTTGAATTTCTTGACAAAATTGTTTAATAGACACGTCCTCTTTGAATTTTAAATGAGTATATGCTACCTAAAAAATATAACATTCGGTGTCAGTTTAACTAAAAGGATGATAGACATTATGTGCTCAAAGTCTCTCTCTCACACACACGTAGCTATTAATACACGTAAGAGTTTGTTCTATTCGGTCCTAAAGTGCGGCGAGCGTGGAACACCTGATCACCTCCCTTCCCAACATCAACTTATGGTTACAATGACAAAAATAGCCTTGTCGATCGCCAACTTCTTTCGATCAGAACAGTCTAGTCATCAATGAGATTATCTACATATTTTTTGTAGATAAATTGCACAATAATATAAAACATATTTGCACCATTGGGCAAAATATGATTATAACAGATACAAACTATAAAAGGTTAAAATTTATTGAAAGTAATTTCTCCCCCTCGTCGATACTCGATAGTTGAATAATCTTCACAGTGTGCAAGTAAAATCTAAGGAATAAATATATACTTACTTTTTCTTTCTTATATACTTACTAGTAATAGAGTTCCTTGCAACGTGCGACAGGCAAATCATGTGCAAGGAGCAGAATTCCAAAATTTACGACTCCACAGACCACCCTATCCACAGTAAGTACAATTATTATAAGTAGCAAGCACTACCAACCATCCTGTTGCTTTCAATAATCCTCAACCAAAATGTAAAATTGTAACCTCGTTGACATGCCAAACATTTCTTCAAATCAAAGCTCAGTGTCTAATCTTGATTCTTGAAAACTTTACCCATCTCAATCTCATCAATAAATCCATTTAATTCATCAAAAATCGCAATGGCAGACTATATCTTCTCCTTCTTTTTTCTATCTTTACTTCTTATTTCTTCAACTAATCATGTTAAATCCGATGAAGAAGGCTACATCTCAGTGGACATATCAAATAAGGGTCTTGATTTTGCGAAGGATTTTCTAGTACAAATGGCTGAGTCTTCACTAGTTCCCCTTGACCTGCCTAAAATTGAGAAATCAAAGCATATTCCTTTTATTGGTACAGTTCATATGGGTCTTTCTAATATCACTGTCGATAAAATCCATGTAATTTCGTCCACTGTTAAAGCTGGTGATACGGGTATAGTTATTAGTGTTTCTGGTGCCACCGCTAATATGACCATGAATTGGGAATATTCTTATACCAATTGGTGGCTTCCTATTCCTATTACAGATAATGGGGAAGCTTCTATTCAGGTATGCACCGATAAATCTGGAAAGCTTATGTGAAATTCTTACTTTAATTAGCTCAAATTACATTAAAAATGCTGTCTTTTTGAGTCATATCTGAACATAGATTCTTTCTTTTACAGTAACTATTTTTTACTCTTGTTTCCCTTTTTAACTTAATTGGGTTAGGATTTAGGGAGCAGCTACTATAAGTGGAAGACAAGTTCAGTAACTTTAGAAGCTAGTGAACTACTGATCACGCCCAACTATGCCTTTTAAAAAAAAAGAACTCTGCGGACGTTGCAAATATAACCCGAGTATTACGCCCAGGGTCGAATCCACAGAGAGTTAACCTATCAACCGCTATCTTCAAACCCACCAAGTATTCAGCACCAGCTTCTCAAACATTTAAATTCTCAGTTGAGTGTTCTTTAACAACTAGCTTGCAAGTAACTAAATGGCTGTAACTAAATTAATAAGGTTGTAAACAATTATGGGACAAAGCTAAGGCAATGATTTCCCCTATTGATGGAATCCCTCCTGTTTATGCTCATACAAATTTACCCACTCATCTCTATCAATCTTGAACGCTAATCTTACCGCAAATCTCTCCCGAGTAATCACAGTAATCTACTATTGCACTCTCCCGAGATACACTAGCTTGCTTTATTTAGCACAATTCAATCTAGATTGCACCCAAGACTTCGTTATTCCTAATCCCGCCTTTAAACCCGCAATTATAGATTCCTCTAATAATCTAGGAGTGGTGTTGTTCAACAATACCCTAAATATGCACTCTTTTCCAAGTTATGCACACTAAATAGGTACAGCTAATTGAGGATCCTGTCAATTAACTACAACGAACACGAAGTTGAACAAATAAAGATTAAACTAGCAATTTGTATTCACATAAACAAGAAGTTCATCACCCAATAGGTTCCATCAAAGCCTTAGACAAGGAATTTAGCTACTCATAGATATGGGAGAATAAACTACGCTTGAATTCATCATAATAATCAAAAGAAAGGAAGAAAGATGTTTAGAGTACTTGCTCCCAATTGTTTTCCTTGCTAAAAAACCTAAAAAATCAATACATGCCTCTCTTGGGCGAAGTCTAGTGTTTTAAATAGGGTTTAGGTCTAAAAATCCCGTGTTTTACACTTAAGTCCCTGAAGTTTACTGTGCCCACCGCGGTTCTACCGCGGTCGCGGTAGAACCGCGGCCAAACGCCCTCGCGGAATCTTCAACTTTCAGAAACTGCCTTCCACCGCGGTTTCACCGCGGTCGCGGTAGAACCGCGGTGGAACTTGTACCCGGAAATTTTGGCCTGTTTTGAATGGGATACTTGGGAAATTCAACAATTGGCCTTTTTTCATCAATAGTTGACTCCAAAACCGCTCCTTAGCCTTCCTTACACCTATATCACCTGCAAATCATGAAAAGCACTAATAAGAGCATTTTGTTGTCATTTTTCCACATTAAAAGTTCACAAGAAGGTGATTATTTGGTGCGTGATTATAGTCAAATTCACCTATTATCAACTACGCAAGAGCTCAAGAAAAGTATTTTATGTATCCACGTGTTGCACGGATTAGTATCTGATTACATTCGAGCTTCAAGAAAAGAGACTTTTACAGAAGCTAAAACTTGAACCATATCATGTCTTCAATATTATCTTATTTGTTGTGGGCAAATGAGGATAACGTCCATAGATGTTGCCTAGAAGTAGCGAAGTCAAAAATTTTGCTAAGGGTGTTCAAGATTAAATATACATGTATGAAAAGTAATATTTGATCTATATATGTAGTATAGTTCTGCAGTACTACTACAACAACAACTATACCTCAGTTTAAAACTAGTTGGAGTTAACTATATGAATCTTCAATGTCCATTTCACTTATTGGAGCCATTTTGTTCGAATACTCAGTTCTTTGTCTTTTTAAGGCAAGCTAAGGATTCTCTATAGTTTCTACTAACATACAAATCTCTAAACATCTAAAAGGACGCCTTGCAAACACCAATTGTAAGCAAGTGCTGTAATATGGCCAATCATTAATTTCAACTAGTTAGTATTGCCTATATGAATCTTTTGCTTAAGCTTTTGTAACTTAGTTGGGGTGGTGGGGTGGGGGGGACTACCTTCCTGCCTGTTGTAATCTCAAGGTTGCCATGTCTACTTGTCCTTTGCATCTCTTCTCCTTGTATTAATCATAGTTAAATGTGCTAGCAATTTGTTAAAGTCTGGTATATTTGTTATTTTCTTTGTCCGTTATAGTCATGCACTTTCTTCATTATTTGATGCTTGTGAAGTATACAGCAAATGTGTAAATGTTGCTTATCCTTAAGGTTGAAGGTATGGACGTCGGAATTTCTTTCAATCTGACGAATAACCAAGGATCGCTTATGCTTTCTCCCTTGGATTGTGGATGTTCAGTGAAAGATATATTTATAAAGTTGGATGGTGGAGCATCCTGGCTATATCAAGGGTACCATTTTTGAATATATATGTTTTATTTAAAGCTACTCTCACTCCCTCTCAGCACACACAGTACATACACACACAAAGCAATGATGGACACCCGATTATGCTTGTATGAATGTGATGTTTTGATGTATGATGTGCCGTGGTCAACAAACAAAAAAGTTAACCGGAATTGGTAACAGTTATTTTCTGCAAGCATGCGACAAATATACTGAGATGCTTCAAAATTTGCATTTCCTTGTAAAGCGTAGGTTGCATTGTAACATTGCTCGTCTGAAACTCTTCATTTCTATCATTGAAAATTCCTTCCATAAAGAATACTATTTTCTGAGTTATACATGTCTGGTGTCTGACTGCAGAATCATTAGTTGTTAGTGAACGGATCTCTCCAAGTTCAAATGAAAAATTCCTTAAACTAGTTCATTCGGTATATTTTTTTTAACTCTTCTGGTTTGTGGCAGTAACTAATTTTGTCTAATATACTTTCAAAGAGGTAATGTGTTTTCATATATCATATCCTCACCATCCTTTGTGATGATTCTGCTATTCTTATAAGAATTTTTATTTGTGCCCTGAGTTTGCTTCCTTGATAGGTTTTACTAGCATCATTATGATTTCCCTCTTTTACTTGCAGGTTGCTGGACGCTTTTGAAGTTAGATTAACTTCTGCTGTAGAAAATGCTATTTCAAAGAAATTGAGAGAAGGGATTGTGAAGCTTGATTCTTTGTTGCAGTCCCTACCAAAGGAAATTCCAATAAGAAATATTGGTGCTTTAAATGTCACCTTTGTTGGCAACCCACAATTGCGAGACACTTCTCTTACTCTTTCAATTGATGGGTTAATTAGTGCCAAGGATGCCTATGCGGCATTTCGTTACCATCATCTGGAACACTTATTAGCGTCTCTAGAATACTTATTAGCGTCAGTTCCTGTGAAGGATCCGGCAAGCATGGTTACCATTTCCTTGCATGAAAAAGTTTTAGTGTCCGCATCATCTGTTTACTATAACGTAAGTCCTTCCTCTATTCCTTCCAAGTGAACCATTTCAGAATTAGAAGAATATTGGTTATTTTTCTAGCAGTCATCTAATAGCTTGACCTTTATATGGATACATGTATTTTTCCACGTTATAGCTCTGAATTTGATAATTTAACATGCCTTGTTCTAATATATTCTTTGAGAATTTGTTAAGGGATATACTCAATGTTAAGCCCCCCTTCAAATCTGACTGGTGCAAGATGCGTTTCAGAATATTATATGGCATGATTGTATCTAATAGCTGCTATCTGTTCAGGCCAACAAAATGCATTGGATTGTTGACAAAGTACCTGAACAATCCTTGTTAAACACTGCTGGATGGAGGTTCATTATCCCGCAACTTTACAGGCAATATCCAGATGCTGACATGAATCTGAATGTTACCATATTTTCTCCACCCAGTCTGAAAATTAAAGAACACCAGATTGATGTGACGGTTCATGCAGATGTCGTGATTAATGTTTTGAATTCGGGTGAAGTGACACCGGTTGCATGCTTTTCAACGGTAAGCTTCGTAAAAAGATCAACTTATCTACATATATGCCACCCATTTCCTTGCAGTCATTAGTTTATTGCTATTCGTTATTCTCCCTGTTGGAAGTAGGACGAAGTAGTCATTAAGCTCAATTCACTTTTTATTTCAACCTTTCACTCTATAGAGGTTCAGTTTTATAGAGTGAAAGGTTGAAATTTAAAGTGAACTGAGCTTAAAATCAATGGCCTATTCGTCCTATTGAAACTTCTTTTGATTGGACGGATAGAGTGAAAGGTTGAAATTTAAAGTGAACTGAGCTTCTAACAAAATAAGTTGGAAATTAAGAAATGCATCTGTGCCATTGATTAGCTTTCTATTTATCACAGGGACATGTTTAAATCAAAATTATTTCCCCATTTATTGTGTCTTAATCAATCAAAATCAAAATCGTTAGAATCTATCTTTATTCTTAATAACCCTTGGCATGAATATTATCCACTGTTTGATATTGGCTTGTGTTGAGAACGTGCAATGGCTGTCCGGAACCTACTTTTCTCCCCGTTTGTGTTGATTAAAATTTAAGTATTAAAATTGCCACTTTGCATATTCAAATGAAGAAAACATGCCGGGGCAGCTGTAAGAGGCAAAAAGTAAAATATTTCTGTTGCTACCTGTAAGAATTGGATTAGTATTTTATCCATTCTTGAAGATGCTAGAAACATTTGTTAACATTTTGAATTGGCTTCCTTTTCTCTTTGCCTTATGAGTGCTACTAGTATAAGTAGTTGAAGAATTCCACCAAGAGGGCAATTGTACTAGCTGATTTTTCAACTGAAAGGAGACAGGGCGGGGGGTTGTAAAATTGTCTCGTTGTAACTCAGGGGCGGACCCACATGGTTTCAAGAGGGTTCATATGAACCCGCTTCGTCGGAAAGTTATACCGCGTATAGATATAAGTGTAATCTAAAACAGAACAACTTTTCATATATAAATAAAATTGAACCCGCTTTGACATCAAAATCGTTGTGCAGTGATGGTCAAGTGGGTTCATGTTTACCGGAAGGTCCAATGTTCGATCCTTTAGTGCAACACTTTTCCTTGCTTTTGGACAGTTTTTGGCGTTATGCTTGAATGGCCTCAGCTTATTTACTTCAAGTACTTAAAACATAATTTCAAAGTTAATTTGTTTTTCTCTCACCGATTTCCAGTAAAACATGCAAGAATATGTGTTGAAATGATTTATTATTTTGTAGTTTACTTTAGTTTGGTCTATATTGAAACGTTTATTTGTTCTATATTGTCTTTTTTTTAATTATTATTATTATTTGGCTTATAAGCTCTCTTTATCCAATTATTTGTATTAGTTTAGTTTATTTCACAACTCTGTCGTTGCATTTTTTTTTCTTGTAAACAACAACTTTGCTTTTGTTATGTAATAAGGAAAGAATTCAGATTTTGTTATATGTTGCAGAGTTTAATATACTTTTAATTTGTTGACCAAGCTTAAAAATTTTAAAGTAAATTTTGTCAAATTAAGTAGATAAATTTCTTTTATTAAAAAAATGCACTACCTGTTAAAAAAAAGAAGAAGAGTGCCTGCTTAAAAATGTGATTCATTTTGAGGTGGAGAATGAAAAGAAAAAAAAATAGAGTAGCTATCTTGCTTGCTATGCCTGATGTTGATTTTATGTCGGCTATTGTCGTGTCAATTTGAACCCGCTGTTGTAACTAACCACATGATTGTTTTAATTGATGCATTTTAGTTTTATTTCCTGAACCTCGGTTGTGTTGATATGAGTAAATGACCTATGTGGTGTCCTTACGAATTCATATGCATGAATTTGGAATGCCCGAGGAAACACCATAGAGAGATGTCTCCATGGGTTTAAAAGGACAAATTCAAGTTATCTTTTTCACATGTTTCATCAAGGCATTTGACCTTGCTTGCCTTTTTTTGAATCCCGGTTCTACCAGGGACTGACGTTTGACTGACGTTTGACTTTTCACCCTCTTGATTGCAGGCAGTCAGTGGTTCAGCTTCTCCATGGATTACCAACAATAATCTTGGTGGAAATATTCAATTAGATGAATTCTCTTTATCTTTAAGATGGAGTAAAATTGGCAATTTGCACGTGAATCTAGTCCGGGTATATCTTCAGTTCTCTCTCTGTGTTCTATTTTCCAGTTCATTATGTTTTCCGTTGAGGCTGCTCATGATGCACTTAAACTCCTTAATCTCAGGGAGTTACATGGTACCTTTTTGGGTCATATGTTTCATTGAAAAACATTTTGATCTCATAGTGCTAATATAGAAAAACATTTAACAAGTGGTCATTTACACTCCTCGCTAGTGAACCAAACTATCAGTAACGCTTTCTCTATAGACGACTCTCTTTCTTGCTTATTGCTGCAACACCCTGTATATTTATATGTATTCATGATGTGCGAGGACCTCAAGCGTCACAAGCAGTATATTTGCTGCTTTAAACACTTTTTTGAATTTGACCTCTTTGTTGTGGTTCTATTTATTTGTTTATCAATTTATCTCAAAGAACTGCAGAGTTTCTGGCTATTTATCTGCATAGTGGAAGGAATGATGAGCTGCATAGGTGTCATCAGTGCTAGCATGATAAATACATTCATTAGTGAATAGTGTGTTACCAGTCATGGAGCTTACGAAGTCGAATTGTATTCTCCCTTTCCGATGATTTGCAGGATTTGTCTCTCTGCTAGTCAAGTCATTTGCCGCTCTAAGTTAGAACAGCAAATGGCCCTCTGTAAATGCTAAAGCAGTGGGCCTAGTATTTGTTTCATCCCATTTCTGTGACAGTTCCTTTCTTTAGGTGATGATAAAACTGACCCGAATCCTGAAAACTGTTGCAGGTACTGATGTCAACTGCACTGCGGACTGTGATACTGCCATACATAAATTTAAAACTTAGTAGAGGATATCCACTGCCCATATTTCATGGCTACACGCTTCAAAATGCTAAAATCCTGTGTAGTGATTCATGGATTAAGATTTGCAGTGATGTTGGACCAGTCCAACAATTAAAGTATAAGTTAGTTCCTACTTCCTCCCACTGTATCAGACCTTGTATTGATAGACAGATGTAAACTAGGTGTAGGATGTGCTTTCTTTTGTTTCTTGTTTGTAATTGCTATATATATGCATGTTGCACATATAGCTATTGTAAATCCTTCTCTCGGTTATAAAATAACGATTGTAAAGTAAGTAAACTGAAGAGAAGTAGAGAGAGAGGTTGATATATTTATTCAACTTTCAAACTGATGTACATAATGAACTGAAAACTCCTCTATTTATAGAAGAAAGGAAGCAAGGCTTTTCTTGAGCTGCATGTAAGCTGTCTGCATGAGCTGCTTGCAACCTGCCTGTTTAATGAGAAGCTGCTGCAAATCATTTCATTGAGTTGCTTGCAACCTGCCCGCATCAAATGCTTGTAGATAAACTTCAATGTAGTATTAAATGGATAATCTTCTTCGGGAAGATTATCTATAACAGAGTATTAAATGAACATCCACAATATAGTTATTTTCATAACACTCCCCCTTGGATGTTCATTGAAAGAGATTGTGCCTCGTTAAAACTTTACTAGGAAAAACCCAATGGAAAAATCCTAGTGAAGGAAAAAGAGTAAACATATTTAGTAATACGCATTTCTGGCTGCCTCATTAAAAACCTTACGAGAAAAACCCCATGGAAAAAATATTAGTAAGGGAAAAAGCGTACAACGCGTATTTCACTCCCCTGATGAAAACCTTGTTTCAAATATTTGAGTCTTTGCATTCAAATGTTGTTACCATCTTCTCAAAAGTTGAAGTTGGCAAAGATTTAGTGAACAAATCTGCCTGATTTTCACTTGAACGGAATATTTTTTTTGCACAACAATGTCACCATTTTTCTGAAGATCATGTGTGTAGAATAATTTTGGTGAAATGTGCTTATTGTTTTCGTATAAAATTGTGGATCTTTTATCACATTCCAAACCACATTTTTCTCGAATGAATCACTGATCTCAACCATACACATTCCCCGATTTGAGATCGAGCTTTATAGGGATTAGATAAATAACTTGCATCCGCATAACTAACATGATCTGTACTACCTTTATTAGCATAAAACAAACACATATCAAGAGTTCCTTTTAAATATCGCAATATATGCTTAATCCCATTCCAATATCTCCGTGTAGGAGAAGAGCTATATCTTGCTAGTAAATTAACAGAAAATACTATGTCAGGCCTTGTAGCATTAGCAAAATACATAAGTGCACCAATTGCACTGAGATAGGGTGTTTCAGGACCAAAGAGTTCTTCATCCTCTTCTGGAGGTCGGAACGGGTCCTTGTTCACTTCAAGTGATCGAACAATCATTGGTGTACTCAATGGGTATGTTGTGTCCATGTAAAAGCGTTTTAAGACCCTTTCTATATAGGCAGATTGATAGATAAAGATCCCATCTGCTAAATATTCAATTTGCAGGCCAAGACAAAGTTTTGTCTTTCCAAGATCTTTCATCTCAAATTCTTTCATAAGATATTCAATTGCCTTTTGGAGCTCTTCTAGAGTTCCAACAAGATTTATGTCATCAACATAAATAGCAAGTATAACAAATTCTGATGCAATTTTCTTTATGAAAATACATGGACAAATAACATCATTTATGTAATCTTCTTTCAGCAAATATTTACTGAGGCGATTATACCACACACGCACAGATTGTTTTAAACCGTACAAAGATCTTTATAATTTGATCGAGTACATTTCTCAAGACTTTGGATTATATGCTTTAGGCATTTTAAATCCTTCAAGGATCTTCATATAGATTTAATCAAATAAGTCATATAGGTTATGACTTGTATCTAAATGGTATGACATCTTCAAGTGTCTGGATTGCTGGTCCGATCCCCACAATCTTTTACAATATTGTGCACTATATTGTATCAAATATATCGTCGACGATCATTTTGTATCAGTTCCTAAGCGACATAACTTGTTGAGATTTCATCACTTTCTTTATTTTCAGGTACCCGAACTTCTTCGGGAGTTTCATGAAATGTTATGTCGTGAGCTCTTCTAGAGCTTATTTCCTCCTCATTATGATCATTAACTCCTACCATTTTTCAAGGATTGTTACCTTTGGAACTGATTGTTCTACCACGCTTCATGCGTACAGTAAACTATATCCTTCAGGGACTTTAATTTTAATAGGAGCATTTGCAGCTGAAATATGATATTAAATTTTGGATCAGCAAATGCTTCTGGCATTTGACTTGAATTATCTTCTAAGTGAGGATCATATTAATGATAATTCGATTCATATAGCATATTTTTTCAGCTGTTTATTCCATCCCCCAAATGTTAGAAAAACTAACATATATTCCCAATCTTCTTTGGGAAACATATCTTTGTGTATTGTGGTAGAGAAATTAATCATATACCACACATCAAAAGATAGTAAAATATTTGGTTTCTGATCCTAAACCAATTGTGAGGGGAGGACTTATCATATATTGTTGGTCTGATGTATACAAGTGCTGCTATATGAAATTTAGAAAATCCTAGACCAACACATGAAGCTTTGTTCTCATAAACAATAGTATAGCAATTAATAGGAGGTATTCACTGCTAAACTAGCTTGTATATAAACCAGCATTATCAAGATGAACTGTCTTGATTTCATAATCTGAAAATTATGCTCTTAAGTGAGAAAAGCAATTTCAAATGCCAAATTGCAGGTTGACATAAACATACATGTAACCATCTTATATATGCATCTATAAGTGGTTCACATGATAGGTGAATGGGCCCATATTAACCTTTTATATATTTCAGAATCAGGAGCCTTAGTCCCAGCTTTAGCTAGTATAATCAATTTATTATGAGAACAAGCAACACAGAAGAATTACTTGAAGAATCTTCTAGTTCTTCAGTATATGCTTATCTGAATTCTCAAATAGCTCATTTAAAAATGGCAAATGAAAACTTCAAGTTTATCATGGCATGTGCTATCTCTTAGTAAACTTCTGGTTAACTATGACAAAAACTTTTGCATTAGTAAACTTCTGATTTACTGTGACTGCTTTTGCATTAGTAAACTTCTGGTTTACCGTGATACATGATGTAGTACAAATTGAAAGATAAGTCGGGTAACTTCTCACATACATATTATTTTACTCCCTGTGGTTGTGGAAACTTGAAGATTTTCAATCTTCCAATCATTTATAGTTGCAATATGATAGCCATTTGTTTTAGTAAACTTCGGGTTTACTACAACATATGTTTTGACCATAATCATATAATATGAATTACATATTTGTATATAAGCTCTTCGAGCCTTCATTTATTATCCACAATCTAATATTTATCGGACACTACTGGTGTCATGTGTCTTCTAGACAAACAGTTAGCTCTTCAGGAGTTGTTGATATATTTTGTACTATCAAATATTGGTCAGACACTTCTGGTATCATGAGAGAAAATCATAATCAAATGAACAATATAAAGCCAAATGACAAAAATTAAGAATTTTAATATTTCTACCACTAACTTTGTGACAAATATCTCCTTCAAGGAGAAATACCATTAACATCTGAATATTTTGTATCAATACAACAACCACATAGTCATTGCATCATTTAAGGAAAGATACACGAGTTGTTATTTCCTTCGGGGAACTCAATAACTAACCATAATTTATTAATGCGGTTGTAGTAGAAAATATTCAACAAGAATGCTTTTGCCTTAGAAAGATAAAATTATCCAAGATGTTTTACGTACAACAGGTACGTGCGGCAATGATCTTTGTGTCACAAAAATAATATTTATATCCTCTGTTATTCTAGCTCTTCAGGAGGTGAGTTGTGGTATTTTTTTTCATTCACTCCAGAGAATGAAAATGTGCTTCAAAAATAACTTTGGATATCTCATTATTTTATTTAAGCACAGAAAGACATAGTTTTATAATATTTTTCTGCTTCAGGAGAAAAATTCAATTGTGTTACTTCTTCAGGAGCAAATTTAAAATACATAAAATTGAGTATATATTATCTCAATCATATTACCTCTTCTTGAGGTGAATTGTAATAATATTTATATCAAAAGCGCGTTCATATTTACGAGCTTTATTAATATTGTCACATTCACTTCAGGGAATAGATTAATATTTATCAAAAGTTCTCATCCTCAAGGGAATGGAACATAATTATCTGAACGTGCATTAATCACACCAAATCGTGTGATGACTTAGAACCTCTTTTAAGATAATGCTACTTCAGGAGCAAATCGAGGCATGCAAGTAATATAGAGAAATTTTCTCTAACTTATCTTCAATTGTAACCATAGAAAGCCTAAATTATCACTTCTGGTGGTTAACAAAATTTACCATGAGATATACGAAACATAACCACTTCTGGTGGTTGTATTTTACTTTCAAACTCTACCAGAGTTGCAAGCAAACTTATTGTCTTTGCTCGCCTTTATAATCAAGTTATAGGACTTCAATATAAGGTAAAAACCTTACCTGATAAGCATGAAATGCTTTTAAAGTGGTGCTTGTGTTTTATACATGGTAGACGGTGATGCTCATGAAATCATCATAACCAAGAGCGTGACTTAGTTGGAACACATATCTTCAACCGGTAGGGAAGTTACTGCCAGCATCTCAACACCTCAGTTGGTTAGAACGAACTTAATTTTAAAGCTCCACTATTCACCTGAGATAGGAAAATCAAATTTGAAGTAAGTGCTCAAAATGGCAGAGTCTCGTGCTGATAACATGTTATAAAATAACGATTGTAAAGTAAATAAACTGAAGAGGAGTAGAGAGAGAGGTTGATATATTTATTCAAAATTTCAAACTGATGTACATAATGAACTGAAAACTCCTCTATTTATAGAAGAAACGAAGCAGCTGCGAGGCTTTTCAGGAAGCAGTTGCAAGGCTTTTCTTGAGCTGCTTGTAAGCTGTCTTCATGAGCTGCTTGCAACCTGCCTGTTTAGTAAGAAGCTGCTGCAAATCATTTCATTGAGTTGCTTGCAACCTGCCTGCATCAGCTACTTGTAGATAAACTTCAATGTAGTACTAAATGGATAATCTTCTTCGGGAAGATTATCTATAACGGAGTATTAAATGAACATCCACAATATAATTATTTTCATAACACTCTCCTGTTTTCTATATAAATCCTCTTTATACCTAATAGCCCGTTTGGCCAAGCTGCAAAAATCAGCTTATTTTGAGAAGTGTTTTTTTTCAAAAGTGCTTTTTTCAAAAATACTTTTGGTGAGAAGCAGTTTGTGTTTGGCTAATTAGTTTGAAAAGCACTTCTGAGCAGCAATTAGTGTTTGGCCAAGCTTTAAAAAACTGCTTTTAAGTATATTTTCTCAAAAGTGCTTCTCAGAAAAGTGCTTTTGGAGAGAAGCTACTTTTTTCTGCTTCTCCAAAACTGCTTCTGCTTCTCCTTAAAAGTACTTTTTTTCCTTCCAAAAGCTTGGCCAAACACCTCAATTTTAGGCCAAACGTGCTTTTGGCCGAAAAAAGTACTTTTGGCCAAAAAGAAGCTTGGCCAAACAGGCTATAAGTCCTGACCTACATAGGCCTGTACACGGAGGCGGATCCAAGATTTAAACTCTATGGTTCAACTTTAAAGTTTTTAGCATTGAACCCATTATATATTTAAAGTTATGGTTCATATCTACTATTTTTGCAATTTTAATAAATTTTTACACAGAGATTTTTACTCCGCGTTGAAAGTTATGAGTTCAATTGAACATGTTCCTAACAAACTACATCCGCCCCTGCCTGTATAGATTTTTTTTTATTTTTTTTATTTTGGATAGCTGTTTTTGACTTTAACTAATGAAAACATGAGTATTCCAGAAGAATGTGAAATATCATGTAATGTTTTTAACTGAAAACAACATTGATTTAAAATCAGGGGCGGATCTAAAGGTGTGAGTATGGGTTCCCGGGAACCCAGTAGCTTTTGGCTAGATTCCGTATTTGTATTAAGAAAATCATTCAATGTATAAGAATATTTAGTTGGGAACCCAATTCTTTAGTTCGATTATTATAATATATTAATTTAAAGTCGATGTAGGAACCCATAAACCAAAAATTCAGGATCCGCCTTTGTGTAAAATACAGGTAGATCGAAGAAATAACATCTATGTTTTTTTGTGTGGATGAAGACCGATTTTATAACAAAACAACGATATGAAATTTATTTTAGAAAATGCTTTTTCGTCTTCGTGCGTGCAAGTAAATGCTTTAAATAGTAAAATAAGTGGCCTCATATTTAATTATTTATTGCATTTTTTTCGTAACATTATATTCAAAATTCAATTTGACTTTTATTTTGTTGCTGTATAGTTTTATATAAATATTCATTCTCATGGAACTATTTCAATTTGAAAGGGGAAATGGATAAATCAAAAAACATAACTTGAGGAGCATGAGGTTGTGAATGCAATGAGTTACTCGTACAATCCAATAAAACCTTCATCAAGTACTAGCGTTTTAGAGTATTTCGTAATTTCAGTTAAAACATTCAAATATATAGTTTTATAGTACAAGTAAACTTTACATATAGATAATAAACACTCGCTTTTATGGTAATTTAATTGAAGTTTATTGAGGTTATTCAATATTATCTTATTTTTTCACATTATTTTAATTTTTTTTCATGAACACAAAACATTTATTTCACGTACAAATGCGTTGTTCACAAATAATAATGTTGAATGACTATATATTGGCATTACGTACAAATGCGTTGTTCATTACGTGCAATCATACATAATTAAGAGTAACAATTATAATGATCCTATTTTTGCTGGTAATAGCTAATAATCCTGTGATTTATTTTTTGACATAATAAATTATTGGATATTACATTTCACTCTCCTGGCTATGATTTGAGTTTTTTTTAAAATTTTAGTTCCAAATTTTCTCAGAAATTTTAAAAATAAGGACGATTGGGCGAAACCGGTGCGTCATTCGTAGCGTAATATACAAACCCGGGCTTCTCCTTTGCCTCTCTCTACGTTTCTCTCTCTAAAAGTCTAAAGCGCAAAAACGCAAGTTTTTCAGCTGCGAGTTTTTGATACATTTACAACGAATTACATCACACTAACAGTTAGTGGGACTCAATTACCCGCCAATAAGGTATATTTTTAACTCTTCCTACTTATTAATCCCCCATTTTTTCAAATTTCTTTAACGTTATATACTCTCCCCTTCTCTCTAGGGTTTCTGATTCTCTCCTCTTTCCTTTCCATGGCTTCTTGCTTCTCTCTTTCTCGCAGTTCTCACGTTCTAATTTTTTCCCTATGGATTCAACGGCTGAGATTGAATCCGATCGGAAAAGGTCAGCGGATGATCGAGGATTCGAAATCCCGGTTTCTAAGAAGGCGCGGCGGGGAATGATGATGATTAGGAATGTGAAGGAAGTAGCTGAGATGGTGCTTGTACTCTCTGCTTTAGGGAAGATGAGGGGAGGTAGGGGTCCTACTGCTGCTGAGAAGGAGATGGTGGCAGAGGCCAGGGACAGATTGGCTGAGCTGTGCTTGAAATTTGGGCCCAAGGATGTGTTTCCGAGTGATGCTTTTGGAGGTGTTATTGAGGATCTTGGGCTTAATAAGCTGAAGGAACAGAGTTTAGGAATTTGGCCTCCCAAAATGTCTATTGCTGAGAAGCTACTCCTTGCCAAAAGAAAGGTATGAAAGGTTATGTTTGCTTTCCACTTGCAATTTGAGTCATGACACTGTAAAAAAGAATGATATATTTATTGTATACGCGGGATTTAGCCAGTGGCTGAACTATGGGGTTCAATTCAATCTCCTTCGCCGGATAATTGTACTGCGTTATTGGTAAAAACGCATTTTTTCTTTTGTATATATAACTTGTTGAATCCCCTTTATACAAAGAGAACTTTTAGTGTTGTGTTTTCTGAATTCCCTTGTTAGAATTTTGGTTCGTCCACTGATTTGGCCATTTAGTTTTGCTTGCATTGTTTGTTTGTTTGAGGGTGATTGTCTTATGGGAAAGATTGTATTAGCCATTTAGTGTGGCTTGCTTTGTTTGTTTGTTTGAGGGTAATTGTCTTATGAGACAGATTCTAAAAGAACTTGTAGCTTGTCTTTGGTCACCCGAAAAGATTATATTTGAAGCTTGGAGGTCTTTAGCATTTGAGTTTCGAAGGATAATTGTTAGATCAAGTGCATGCAGATTTTTTCTGGTTAAATTGTTGCTCATCGGCTGTAAAATGTAGCCAGCTAGGAGTTATGGATCTGACGAGGAGCAAGTTTACTGCTTCTAGATAGCCAAATGAAGTCAAGTTAGCCTGTTGAGTTGCCTCTTGTTTTTCTAACCAGTTCCATTTTTATCTTTTTCCATTCTGCTTTTAGATGACACAGGAATTTTCTCTACCCTCAGCCAGCTATTCATCTCAAAGGTCTCAAACTGCAGTGGGTACAGCAGCTGAAAGCCATAATGCATCACACACTAAGATGTTTCCTCAACCAAGTCAAACGGTAAATTCATCAGGAAGCTTCCAACCTGCTTCATCTTTGGGACATGGAACTCCCGTAAGTTCTGCATCTTTACCTTATCAGCTTCCTACCAGTGAGGTCAGGCCTTCAATCTCCAGTGTAGTGGTCTCTGGTAATCTTGTAAGGGATTCTTCTTCACCAGCACCTCCCGGAGTTGGAAGACCACATTTCCGAATGGATGGACGACCAAGTGGATCTTCCCATACTTTGCAAGTTCAAGGTAACAAATATGTGTTCATCTAAAATGTCCAAGGTGCTTTAGGATCCTAGTTTGTTAGGTGATTCCTTCATGCGGAGCTTTAACGACTTGTCGAGAAAAAGGGGGAACTTTTCCAAATGACGTGTAGGTTAGGAATGGAGGATAGGTTGTGTAGATTGTACAATTGCTTTACTTTAACATCTGCTAGCTTCAAATAAGTAAGAAAGAGTTCTAGGTGAATTATTAGGTTGAACATGCTTAATTATCAGCATGGTTATCATCTAGGTTCAGAGTTCTCCTTTGAGTACCATTCTGTTGGAAGCTTAGGTGATCCTTCGTTCTACTCTAACTAATCTACCTGTTCGCCTTTTCTTTTCAACAATACATATACAGACCTAGTTTTTTGGTCATGCAACATGGGAGTTGGCTTTGCCAGCATTTTGTCTTCGTGAATTTTTCCTTTGAATTTTGAACTTCTATTGGTTTTTTCATTCTGAACCCTCTGAAGCTTATTGATTTGTAGCAGCTACTGGCAATCATTCAACTGTCAGAACTCCAACTTGGTCGGTGCAACCTGCATCAGTTTCTTCAGTAAAACTTGGGGCAGATAACAAGGTGACGCCAGTTGAGGGAGGTGCTGATGTTAGGTCAACGATGGTACCACAAACAATATCTAGGCGATTTATTACTCAGAGCACAACTGGAAATGTACCAAGTGTATACCCTCATTTACAATGCGCAAGCACTATTCAGGCTCCACCTCCGAGCAATACTCATTCTGAGATTGGCAAGCTTGTTCAGAAGTTTTTACAACCCCTGCTACCTGAGCGGCTTGCATGGACTGCACCATCCCGTGATTACATGAATAAGACTTTGACTTGCCAAATGTGCAGGTCAACAGCAAATGAGGTTGACAATGTACTTGTCTGTGATGCCTGTGAAAAAGGTTATCACTTAAAATGTCTTCAAACAACAAATCAAAAAAGTGTTCCTAGAGGGGAATGGCATTGTGGAAAGTGCTTGGCGATAACTAATGGCAAGCCTCCGCCCCCTAAATATGGTCGTGTGATGCGGAACATCAACGCCTCTAAAATGCCTACAATTGCAGCAGCGGTTCAATCATCTCCAGATAGAAAAGGCTTTGGTCCGAAAGAGAAGGTTAGTCAGTTGAACATTATGGGGAATGGAAATGTTACAGTGCAGAACTCCACTACCATTGGTATAACAAATAATCTTAACCATCTACCATCTGGTCCAAAGATGGAAAATGACAAAAGAATAGGGGGAGCTGATGATATGTCCATTAAAGGAAATGTGGAGAGTAAAGTTTCTTCCGCAATCTGTTCAACTAATTTGACTTCGGGAAACTGTTCAAATAATTTGTCAGTATCTTCCAGTGATAACTGTCTCTCTCCTTCTGCTCACCCATTGGTTCATAGATCTTTTGAAGAGAAGGTGGTTGAAGTGAAAACTCTGCCTCCTGGAAAATTCGAAACAGTTTCCAAGTCATGTGATCTCTCACAACCCTTCAATCACCTACAGGCCAATGACCAAGCACGACTAGCAAATACTATAGAGATACCTTCCCAGCAGTTTCCTGGTAGTCAGTCCATGGTCGGTGATTCCAAGGAATCTAGTGCTAGAGCAAGTTCAGCTAATAGTTCAAGCGATGAATGTAAACGAGAAGATGAAGGTGGTGGACGGACAAATCTTGACGAAATTCCTATTGCCAGTAATGGGGATGCCGAATGTGTTAGCTCTACATCAGATCTCTTTCATACCGTTGATTGGATCGGCAATGTGCTTCAAGTTGCAGACGAGAAACATTATTACCAATCTTGTCGGCATAATGGGTTCATATACAATGTTCAGGAATATGCTCTTATTCGGTTTGAGGATGAGAGATTGATTCCTTCAAAGCTTGTGGTAAGGATTTGAGTTCATTAAATTTTAACCAATTTCCCCATAAAAAAGTTATTGTTTGCAATGTTATGGACTTCTCAAGTAAAAATGTACTGAGCATTGCTGTTACTATCTTTGAAGGGGAGCCTTGGTGCAGCGTCAAGAGTTGCTGCCACATGTGACTAGGAGGTCATGGGTTTAAGCCGTGAAAACAACCTCTTGCAGAAATGCAAGGTAAGGTTGTGTGCAATAGACCCAAGATGGTCCGGCCTTTCCCCAAACCCACTCATGACGGAAGCTTAGTGCACCAGGATACCCTTTATTATTGTTCCTATCTCTGCATTTAATGGAGTTTGCACTGCTCCAAATTCTGAATGGACTAGGTTCACCAATGAGACCGTAACATGTGGCATCTGGAGCCACCTCATGGAACTTTGTCATTGATTTGTGCACGTTAATTTATTGAATGCAAGTTTTCCTGTTTTTGCCTCCAAGTTGGCGTAGTGCCTTTGAACATATGCAAATTTACAGACATACATGCATACGCAAAAGATACATTGCATATGTATATATGCACGTGATTGGTGGTGTCAATCTGGGATCTTCTTTCCCAAAGTTAAAATGTTTGGACCAGCTATGATTCTTGCAATACTATTTTCCCAGTGAGCAATGGAGGGAATGTTTTACTCCTTGCAATAAAATGGATGTCTATGGCAGTACTTGCTTACAAATTCACTTCTTTGGTATTCTTGCTAGCATATAAACACTCTCTTTTCATATGTATCCTTGATGTTCACATGGAGAAACCTTTTTCCACTCCTTTCAGGCTATGTGGGAGGATATAAAAGCAGGAAAGAAATGGGTTACTGTCAATCGGTGTTACTTCCCAAGGGACTTGCCACAGGGCGTTGGCCGCCCATGTAGCTTGGAAAGCAATGAGGTAAATAACTTATGCTGTAGGCTGCTCTCATAGCTTCCATTGATCTTATTTTTTTGAAAAAGGAAAAAGCCAAGTGCCGCTTCGTTTTTTATGATCCATAAGAAGAATTGGAAGATGAGCTAGGCCAATTTGTTGGGACTTTATTTGCTTTTGGGGCCATATAGGGTGTTTTCTTCTTTGGGTCAATTTGTGAAGTGGGTATATTTGCCATGTCTTTGTTTTCTTTTCTCTTTTGTATCTTTATTTTGGCCCTTAAAAAGGGTTGCTCTTGAGTAAGGGTTGCATTTACCTTGATAAAAGCAGAAATTTCTAATTGGCCTCCAGATTTCAAATTTCTTAAACCAATATTTTGGATTCAAGAATGTTTTGACTCCTGCTTTATTTGTTTCTTATATGGAACAAATATGATAACACCTATTAAAATTTATAATGTGTGTTTTGTAGACCTCCATTATCAATAGCAAGGAGCCGGATTTTTGCTTTAGTCTTCCGTCATCCATCTCCCTTCCAGTGGAGAATTTAGGTGTCTCCCGTCTGTACTACTCATTGCTTACATAAAAGTATTTTCTGCCTGTTTTTGGTCCCAAGTGATGGAGGAGAATGAGTTTTGTGTACTTGGATCTTTGACGTGCTGTTTTAGGGTGTGTCTGGTATGAAGGAAAACATTTTCCAATTTTTTCATGTTTGGTTAGATCAAATGTTCTGGAAAATATTTTTCTCATGAACTCATTTTCCTCCGCTCGGAGAAAAATATTTTCCCTGCCAAAAGGAGGGAGAACTTTTTCCAAACCTTTTTCAACCTGCCCCACCCTAGTCCCCACGTCCTCACCGACCCCACCCCACCTATCACCCACCCCCACCCCCACCCCTTCCCCCAGCCACTCCAGGTCCCCCACCCCATTCCCAGACGCCCCAACCTGACCCCCCCCCCCCTCCACCCCCATCCCATGGTGTTTGCCTAAATATATATTTATACTTTTTATAAATATTTTCTACTCGCTAACCAAACGCTAAAAAATATTTTCCGGAACACTTTTTCGCTCACCAACCAAAAATGGGAAAATAAGTGATAAAATTGCTCATTTTCAGCAAAACATTTTCAAGGAAAATATTTTCCAAGGAAAACACTTTCTTCCACACCAAACACACCCTCAGTCAATTTATCTAGCATATGTGGTTTGTAGATCTCCATTATCTATAGCAAGGAGGCGGCTTGATTTTGTGTTATTAAGGTCTCTCCCTTCTTCCATCTCAAAAAGGTCCTCCCATCTTCCATCTCCCTCCCAGTGGGAAATCTGCACCCGTTCTCCCTGGGTATCACTTTGCTGCGTCTTGCCTCCCTATAGGTGCCTTTGGAAGGTGGGGAGTGAAAATCAGTGAACATTTCTGTACTACCCGTAACTTATATAAAAAGTTTTGCACTACCTGTTTTGAACCCATGTGATGGAGGAGAATGAGATTTGTGTACTTGGTTTGTGGACCTACTGTTTCAGTCAATTTGGAGAATTTTTACAAACTTATAATGCTTGGTAGTATTTTTTTCTGAGAAGGAAGAAAGGGAATCAAAGTAATGCTCGATAGTATTTAAATTAGTTAATTAAGGACTTGGGGGTTTCTATGGCATGAGCTTCGGATCCCAAATTAATCTCTTTTCAGTTAAAGTCTTAATTTTTCGATGGTGAGAAATATATTTGACATTTCTATTTGTTTTTTTAATTCCTTTTGTAGACAATTGTATGATCAGGTGGGACTTCAATCATCCTAATGTAACTTTGAAATTTCAGAGTTCAAATGATAGCTCTAATCTATTTGCGCTTTTACATATTTTTTCCTTTCAAGAATCTCGTGTTTTATCATCAAGGGACCATGCTTAAGTGACATTGTTAAGATGCCGAGCTACTAAGATTATTGCGCTTTTGGGTTTTGTCATCTAGGAAAGTGAGTTAATCTCATTTAGGGTCCAAATTGACATTTCTAACCTATCCTTGTGCTTTATAGATTTTTTCTTATCAAGAATCTAGTGTTGTAAGTGACAATGCTAAGATGCTAAAGTACTAGAGCTTTTGGGTTCTATTATTTGGGAAAGTGAGTTAATCTCATAGAATAAAGCTTAGTACACTCCTTGTTCCATTTTATATGACGGTGTTTGATTGGATACTTAGCTTAAAATTTAATTTGAATTATATTTATTAGGGTGTGGAAGAAAATAATGAGGTAGTGGTTGAAAAATTAGTTTGGGGGAAAAAGTCCCATCAAATCTTTAAAATTTGAATGCATAAATGAATTTGATATCTTGAAAGTTATGAACTATTTATCAAGTAATGTATCTGTGAGGTTTAGCACATTCCAAAACGTCATATAGACAGTATTTTGTTCTTCCTTATGGGTGAAGTTGCATTTTGGGTTAGATTGAAGTTATTTCGTTTGAAGCTATAATCTCACCTGGTGGATTACTTTTATGTTTGTCATTCCATAAAAGAAAAAAGTTACTCCTATATTTCATGTTACACTCCTTATCAAAAAAAGATATTTCATGTTACACTATTTAAAGCAGCTGTGTAATTGGTAGCAGAGGATCTTCCATGAGATTCCAATTAATTTGTTGATAGAGCTATAAGATCTTGTGGAAAATGGATTGCGTATTTGCTTACCCACTCCGCAAAAAAAGAAAAGAAATGCTATCTATTTTCTACTTTAGCATGCAGCGATAGGGTTGCATGCTATAAGATAATAAGATTCCTTTACATCATTGCTTTTTCTTCCACAGGTTTATTTATCTAATTGTAGTAGCACTGTGGTGGCTGGCCAGATAGAAGGTCCATGCGAAGTACTTCCTTCGAGCAAGTTTAATGAAGAAAGAGAGAGGGTATCTCGCCTAGAAACAAGGTCTAATGGTGGATTACGGCCTCTCTACATATGCAAGTATGTTGATTAGATCTGCTTTTGCACCTCTTGTTGGTTGATATGGAACAATTCATTGGATAGTGCATGATATAGATGATTCTCCTTTTTGTTTTTACTTTGATCTGGCATGAGTCACTTTACGTTGTTTAGTCTAAATGGAGCATGAGCAAACTTAACTCTGTTTCATGGTTTCACTTGGTGATGGTTCAGTAAAAATTCTTATTCAATGCTGATTAATGGTGATGCAGAAGAGATCCTTTTAAAACGCTGGAACATGATTATGTAGTTCAAGGAACTTACTTTTTTCATCTTGTGACTTGTGTACAATTGATTAGCTAAATGCAGAGACAAATTGGGGATCCCAAATTTCACATTAATAGCTCTAAATTTCAGTTTACGATGCTGATTTTCCCCCCGTTTTGGTAAGTAATTTAATCAAAATTTATTGATGCAGATGGATTTATGATGAATCGAAAGGGCTATTCCGTGACGTTTCCTGTTGATTTAGGGTCAGATGGCAATCTTCTGTATGTTGCCACTATTTCTTGGCTCTTATCTCTGATTAGGTACAGATCCATTTCTGGGTTCCAAGCTCTTTTAATCTGTTCAGAATGTTAGTAGTGTGTCATTATCCCCCTTCTGTTTCCCTACAACCTCCTTTTATTGGTGCTTGTGTGGGCTCCATGACAGGTTAAACCTCACTGCCATTTTGTTTTATCAAGTAATAAAGCTCAATGCCATTTCTGACTTGGAAGTTTGGTTTCTGCCTCAATTTAAACATACATCATTCCTTTTGTGTGACAAAAAATAAGGAACTTCAAATAATTGGAAACTACTTCCATACAATTAAGGCTTATTTTGGATACTTGTGTCTTCTCCATTCATATTCAATGGAAAAAAATGATCTCCACCTGACTATATTGTTTTTTGCTTTTCATATTTAATTTATTCCAACTAGGTGTTATTTTCATCTATCTTTCACTCAGTCACTCGTTTCAGCTGTAATTCTTCTCTTTCACTTATAAGGTAGTATTACTTATTTGCTTCCATTTTGGTGTCGTGCATATGAACTTTTATGTTACTCTTTCCCAGAGTTTGTGTCTTGTCTCATTTACTGGAGGTCAAGTGATCAATCGTTATTTATTGAAAAAGAGAAAAGTGGTAAGTTGCTGAAGTTAAGTGTGATTAATTTGTTCCACATCCAAAAAGAATATGATTAGCTTGTTTTGACTAGAAACTGCAGAAAATACTGGATGCTGCAACTTCTTTCACACTTAAATAATGGAAAATGGCCAAAATACCCTTCAACTATTCGATATAGACCATGTTTATCCTCCATTAAATTTTGGTACCAATCAAGTCGTTGCCATCTAAATTTTATACCACTTCTACCCCTTAAAACTAACGGATTCCACATCCTATACATAAACCCACATAAAATAATGTTTCTTTTGTTGAGTTAGACAACCAGGTGGAAACATAATAATCCTACCCCTCCCTTCTTCCCTCCCCCACCCTACTTTTCTTTCTTCTCCACCCCACATTTCCCTTGTCACTCTTCTGCCATGACAGACTCAAAAAGCTTCCACAAATATCGGCAAGAAAAATTTGGAAAAAAATCTACAAACATCATGAAGCAAAAATGAAAGAATTAAAAAGCTTCCAGAAACATGAGCGAGTAACATTTGAAAAAATATAGGAATCTGCAAACCTCACAAAACAAAAGGCCAAAAAACGAATCAGAGCCCAATTTTCTTAATTGACAAACTGGTTTTGTGGAAAAACAAGAAATTGGTTGCCGAAAACTTGTCGAAAAACTTCTCTGGTGTACTCCATGGATTTCGGTCAAGATCCTTCATTTTCATCTAAGCCCAATTCTCTTAATCAACAACTTAATTGGTGTTTTTCACTTGGTTTTTTGGAATTTGATTCATAACAGTGCATTTTGGATCAATTTTTATATGATGATATTTTGGCTTTTGCTGAAAAGGAAGTCTTGAAATGGGTCTTTCAGGAAAGAGAGGATTGAGGAAGGAGGAGAACGAAGAAAGAGAAAGAGATAGAGAAAAAAGAAAGAAAAGGATAATAAAAGGGCACACAACTAATTAAGTGTAATTAGTTGAGTACAACTCTCCATTCTGTGGGTTAATGTGTTAGTTGGGTCGGGTTAAATAGGTTAGTGGGGGTACCCCCCCCCCCCCCCTAGGCAGCTTATGTAGACAGCTGTTAGTTTTTAGGGCAACTGTGGTCCAAAATTTAGACGGCTAAGACTTAATTGGTATCAAAAATTTAACGGAGAGTAAAACTGGTATATTTCGAATAGTTGAAGGGTGTGTTTGGCCCTTTTCCGCTTAAATAGAGTATAAATCTAATCAATGAGTCGAACTGGGTAAAACCTGAATTAACCGTGGTGCACTTGCGGGAAACTCCTTGCCGAGGGCCTGTGCACCCCCGGGATTAGTCGGGGCTCTTAGAGGACTCGGACACCCGGTGCAAATCAAAAAAAAAAAAAAAAAAAAAATCTAATCAATGAGTGGAGTCAAAGATGTTCACTTTTGGATTGACAGCTCATGTTATTCCAATTGAGTAGGTTTAAAACCGAGATAGTCAATTATCTTGGAGAAATTTGAACTTCTTGTGCTATAAAAGTGGTTCCCTTCTAACTTTTCTAATAAAAGATATCGGAAGTATCTTGAAGGTTGTCCTTGTAAAAAGAAAGTGTTTTGAAGATTGTACTTTGAGTTTTTCCCCCTTTTAGGTGTAAGTGATTCGTTTATAGGCCATCATAAAAGGAAATTGAAGGTGTTATTGGGGACGGGGGAGTGCTGTAAGTGTGCTGAACTCCTCTGGCTGAAAGCTTTCCACGAACTTGCGCTAACCTCCATTAACCTGTCAGTTATCGAGCCTCTTTAATGTCCTGTGAAGCTATCGTCATGGTTGATGGTCCAAACTTGAGCCTCCCATTGCTAAAAAAATTGCATAAACTGAAATTGTGTGCAAGGTGCTAAACCTGGGAAAGAAGAGGGAAATGAGGGAACAACATGAAGAAATCTTTTTCCCTGGAAAGTAGAGCTCTTAATCATTACATAAGCTATTGTAAAGATATTTTTCTTATAGTAGTTCAGTCTCCTTGTGTTTGTTTATGACTTTGACTTGCATCTTATTCTCTCCAAACATGCAGCTTATTGAAGCACTGGCCCCTCGAGCATTCTGGAGGAAGTCTTTGATGGTTTACACTTACAACATGTAGCTTTTGTCCTTTTTTTTCTCCCTCAAGTTATAACCATTGAAGAGGCTGCAAACAAGTCTAGATTTGATCTATGATAACAGCCACCCCAAGAGAGCAATCGTTTGTATATTGTTGGTTCAGAAAATTATGGAATAAAAGTTACCTTGCTTTTTGGCCTTTGCTTAGCATTCTTCTTCTCAGTTGTCTGTCCCTGCATTTTCCTACCCGAATGCATTCGTTGCTAAACAGATTTCTTCTCCTCAACACGTCCGGAAGAAATTGTTAGTTGGCCTCAATGATAGTTTTTTTCTTGCACTTTTGAGTTATTATCCCTGACTAAGGTATTTCCTTTCAACTTGGGGATGCAATCTGCTCAATATTAGCGAGCATTTCGACTGAGCTGTTCTATTCTTTTTTGTTTGAGCTGAAATGTTGAGGGTGATGTTACTTTTGAAGGTTGGGTAGTTTCTTAGTTGTGAAATGTACAATGGAATAAGTTGAGATGTTAATTTTGGCTGGTTAAGGCCATCTCCAACCCACCTCCATTTTTACCTCCAAACTCCATTTTGGAGTAAAAAATGGAGGAATTTTGCCCCAATCCAGCTGCAAATTTGCCTCCATTTTGGAGGATGAACAATGTCTCTCTAAATTTTTATCCACTCCATCACTAATTCCTATTATTTTATTATTATTTTTAATTATTTAACCCTTTTAATTTATCATATTATATATATATCGAATTATGTTTATGTAACATCTTTATAATATTAATTTTACATCTTAATTTTGGCGTATAATTTTAATAAATTAATTTTCGTGCATATATTATTTTTATGTAAAATTGTAAGTTAATTTTGTAAGTTATAATTGTATAAAAAAATATATAACCATCACAAAAATGAAAGGTGCAAATATAAAATTGTGACGACCCAAAGGGTCATCACCTGTTTCCTCATTCATTCTGTGCTTCCGAGGCCTTGAAAAGCTCATTTTTACTTGCCTCGATTTGCGTGCGCAGTCCGGGCGCATAGCCGGAAAGCTTTTATGTTGAAATATGTGAATTCTGTGAAAAATTTGAAGAATTTTGATATTAATATGTTTAAGGTTGACTTCGGTCAACATTTTTGGTAAACGGACCCGGACCCGAGATTTGGCGGTCCCGGAAAGTCTGTAGAAAAGTATGGGACTCGGGCATGTGCCCGGAATCGAATTCCGAGGTCTAGAGCCCGAGATATGAATTTTTCCGTGAAATTGTTTTTCTGAAATTATTAAGAAAAATGGAAATGAAAATTGATTAAAAGACTATGGTATCGGGCTCGTATTTTGGTTCCGATGCCCGGTACAAGTCTTAAATATGTGTTAAGCGCTTTCTGTAATGTTTGGTCGAAATCGGACGTCGTTTGATGTGTTTCGGACTCGAAATGGAAATTTGAGGCTTTATGAACACTTCAAAGAAAATCATGAGTTTTGAGGCTTGATTCTATGTATATGATGTTATTTTGGCGATGTGATCGCGCGAGTAAGTCCGTAGGATGTTTTTGAGGTTGTGTGCATGTTTGGTTTGGAGCCCCGAGGGCTCGGGTGAGTTTTGGATAGGCATCGGATTGCATTTCTCATGTTTTGAAAAATCTGGTATTTGGCTTCTGCAATTTTCGCAAATGCGAAGCCAGGGTTCGCAAATGCGAAGGCCCAGCTATCGCAAATGCGAAGGCTGGTTCGAAATACAAAACCAGCCCAGGTAAACCAAGCTTCGCAAATGCGAAACCAGGCGTCGCAAATGCGATGGACCCTGGTTCGCAAATGCGAGATCCAGTTCGCAAATGCGAAGGGTCCCCTGGCAGCTTGAATTCGCAAATGCGAAAAATAGTCTCGCATTTCCCAGGCCTGCATTGTTCGCAAATGCGAACCTATGTTCGCATTTCCCATATCCGAGGCCCAGCAAATTTTATACTTAGTCGAATTTTCACCACTTTTCACCATTCTTTCAAAACCCAAACACCATAGGCGATTTTTCAAGAGCAAGCTTTATCCCAAATCATTTGTAAGTTGATTTTTACTCAATTCTTTCAACTTTTAACATCATTAAACATGTTTTCCACTTGAAATCAAGGATTTTCATGGGTGAAATTGGGGTTTTTGGGTAGAACCTAGGTTTTCTATAAATTGGGAAGTTGGACCTCGAATTGAGGTCCGATTTCAAAACAAATTATATATTTAAACTCGTGGGGGAATGGGTAACCAGATTTTGGTTCGAACCTCGAGTTTTGACCACGTGGGCCCGGGGGCGTTTTGAAAAATTTTGAGTAAAACTTTGGGAAAATCGTTTTTATGCATTCAAACTAATTCATATAGTGTTTGCTAAAGTAATTGAGCAATTTGTGATTAGATTCGAGCGGATTGAAGGTGGAACCGCGAGGTAAAGCAATAGTTGAGGATTAAGTGGATTTCAAGGCTTTGAGGTAAGTGTTTGGTTTAACTCTAGCTTGAGGAATAGGAGTTGAGTCTTGTTGTTAATTGCTATGTGATCGAGTACGATGTATAGGCATGGTGACGAGTATCTATACATTGGTGTCTAGCATGACCGTGAGTCTTTATAATGAAATTATCGTGACTTGGTTGTGAATTCCGTGTTTATTGAAGGATTCCTAGTTGTTGTGAATAACATGTGAACGGTAATATGATCCTTGATTCCTAGGAGCATTGGCTCGAATTGTGATACGGATATGAAAGTATACGAAATGATTTGATTCTTTAGAGCGTTGGCTCAAAATAGTAAAGTGAATTAAAAGATAAGGAAAGTAAGAAACAGAAAGCGTTGTCGATTATTCCCTTGCCGGGACGTCTGGTTGCATTCATTGAATTCTTTCCCTTGCCGGGATGTTTGTCAAATATTTGCTTATTTTGTGCCCCTTGATTGTGACTATTGTTTGGGGAGTCGGATTGTACGATAATATGTGAGGATCGGGTTGCGCGCCGCAACAATGATATTGAGGATTGGGTTGCGCGCCGCAACAATGATATATGATAAGTGATATGGGTCGGGTTGCACGCTGCAACAGTGGTATTTGTGGAGCGGGTTGCACGCCGCAACAATGGTAATTACGGAGCGGGTTGCACGCCGCAACAATTGTTGAGGCTATGTGTTTGTATTTGAGTATTGATTCTTTATTCTTTGTGAACCTACGCTGTTTTTAGTTGTTACTCTGGATTATTGTTATTATTGTAACTCCCCATAGCATGTTTCCCCCTCCCATGTTGGTAATTGCTTTGTATTCGATTTCCGCTGTATGTTTATAACTGCACAGGTTTATGTGGTGTCCAGTCTAGCCTCGTCACTATTTCGCCGGGGTTAGGCTAGACACTTACCAGCACATGGGGTCGGTTGTGCTGATACTACACTTCTGTGCATTTTGGCACAGGTCTAGGTTTTGAGCAACAGCAGCAGTAGTTCAGGAGCAGGCTTTCATATCACGAGACTGAGGTAGCCTTGCAGGCGTCCGCAGGCCCGGCGTCTCTTCTCATTGTTTTCTTTTAGACTGTTGCCTCCTTGTTTCGAGACAGACAGCTGTTATATTTCTTTCAGACCTTTGTATTTAGTTTATTCTTAGTGGTTTGTGAGTAATGTGACACCAAATCTTGGGTAGAGGATATTGTTGAGTATTCCGTATTTATTTCAGACTTATAAATTAGACCTTCCGCAGTTATTGTTGTTATTATTATTGATGCTACAGATTGTCAACAGAATGGCTTTACTAATGAAAACGGTAGGTAAGTTGGCTTGCCTAGCTACCACGAGTAGGCGCCATCACAATCCCGATGGTGGAAAATCCGGGTCGTGACAAAAATACAATATGTTGCTAAAGTTGAAAAGTGAAAATTAAAACTACATTAAATAAAAATACATTAAAATTGAAAATACATTAAAATTGAGAATACATTAAATTATAAATACATAAAAAATTTGAAATTACATTAAATAACATAATAATTTAGTAGGGAGGCAAGTCGTTTCTAGATACACCAAAATCATTAAAGAATTGAGTGAATGGGGCAGAAGATTGTTGTAATTCTGGATGTGGAAATTGTTGACTTCTTTTATCCATCTTTCGTTCTTGTTCTTGTCACAAAAATTCACGACGAATTTTAAACTACATGTAAATATATATTGAATTATCTTGTATCTCAATAATTTCACTTTTATTTGAATTATCCATTAATATGTATAATCTATAATATTTGCTCACAAATTATATTATTTAAAAATTTATGGTACATAATAATTTTATTTTAAATGGTTATATAAGAAAGAAATATGAATTATACGGGATGAATATCTAAAAAAGAAAAAAAATATAGGATTTTTTAAAGAAAATAGAAAAATAAAATTCAAATAAAAGATAATAATATAATATAAAAGAGAGAAAAGAATATAAAAAGGAATATTTTTTTTGGAGTAAAAAATGAAGTAATGGTTGGAATTAGTTTACTCTATTTGGAGTGAAGGGAAACCTGGTTGTAATCTTATTTGAAATCCAGTTGCCCATTTCATGGGCTAAGAGTTAATGCAGTACCTGACTTATTTAATTTACTACGTATATCTTAATCTAATTGAAATTTGGCTTTATTCTAGACGATCAAGGTTGAGCATTTGAAACTAAAGTTCAACTGTAAACTATCATATATGTAAGTTTATATTCGAGTATGCTCCTAGTGTGAATATGTAGTAAAAATTGCACGGGGCGCCCTATTTGGTCGCTCCCATTTAACCTATACCCATTTTTTTAAAAAGTTTTAACTTGTACCTACTTTTTAAACAACTTCAGCCCCCTTTCTCCTCCTCCTTCTCCTCCTTCGTTTCTTCTTCTTCTTCTTTCTTCTGCTGCTGTTGGTGCTGCTCTGAAACTTCAGTTCATGGGATGATTGCCATAAGTATGTTTATCAGATTATTTAAAAACAAATTATAAATAATTACGTAAGTTAGTAGACAATAATTTGTGAATATTTTCACGTAATTCTGCTCTTTTCACGTTTATTATTTCCAAAATTTATGATTTAGATATTGTTGGCAATCTGATTATTTTATAGTAGTAATACACTATGAAAGAATAAGGTGATTATTTATCTAGTATGTTAGAAAGCTTTTTCAAAAACTTCAGCTTATATAGTGCTGAAGTTTTTACATATGAACTAAATAACTTCAGCATCTTCTGCTGAAATTTTTGAAAAAGCTTATCCAGGACAAAAAAACTTATATAGTGCTGAAGTTTTTACAAATGAACTAAATAATTTCAGCATCTTCTGCTGAAGTTTTTGAAAAAGCTTATCCAGGATAAAAAAAACTTCAGCTTATTTTGTGCTGAAGTTTTTACAAATGAACTAAATAACTTCAGCATCTTCTGCTGAAGTTTTTGAAAAAGTTTTATGACAAAACTAATGAATCCAGGACAAAAAAACTTCAGCTATTTTAGTGCTGAAGTTTTTACAAATGAACTAAATAACTTCAGCATTTTGAAAAAGTTTTAT